AACTCACAATTCTGGAAGAAGCACCCTTTGTCATCATAACTATACACTTGTTTCTTTACTTTATAACCAGTAGTAGAAAAAATATTTTGAAAGAAATTATGCATTTTCACTATAAAATCAATAGACCCCCCCCCCCCCCTCAGAACCCCTGACTCAGGGGCTATGAATTTCACAATTTTAGAAGAGGCATTCTTCCTTATTCTAACCATGCACTTCCTTTGTTTGAAAAATACCCAGGAGCTGAGAAGAAGATTTTGAAAGAATTTATGCCTTTTCCCTACATGTATAATCAATAGAGCCCCGCCCTAACAATGGTAATTTCACACCCCTGTGTCAAAAATTGGTTTTGCAATTCCAGAAAATAGGTGAAAACTATTTTAAAATTACAATAAAAAGTGGGCAATAGGTAATTTGAGTGTCTCAAGTGACTAAAAATGGCAGAATTGGGAGCTTACATGGCCATGATGTCAATTAAATTAAAACTTCATATAACATAACTACCTGTAGGTTGCATCTGGATACAATGTAGGCCAAGCCATCGTTTACTTCTGTTTGCTGATGTGTCATCAATAAAAATATTCACAGGCAAGGTCCAAACAGGCAATAATTTCTCAGCAAATGGGGACAAATTTTCATGCTGGTAATAGGCCTATATGCAAAATTTAACCATGTTATTTATCCAGCTTCAATGCAATCGAGCAAATTTAAACCTTTCATGCTAACTGTAACAATGTCAACATCTACTAGGATTCTATAACAAATAAAATTCTGCTTTGTGTAGGTCTTATCACAAATAATGATCATACTTGCTCTGTACATTCTCTAAGGTGTTTGACATCAATTTCTATTGTCTCTTCCCTTGGCCTGATATCATGCACATCCCTAGGCAAAAGAAAGAAAAACTTTATTGAAAATCACTTTCAGAATAAAACTGGCGATGGACATTCTGATTCCAATACCACATTAGCAGAAATTTTAGCACAGATTCAATTTTAACATTTTTCGTGAGGGTGTCGAAATCACGAAATTTAAATAAAGTTGAAAATTATTTCGTACTAAAGGTTACTTTTCTCTGCATCATGAAGTTTCCAAAATTAAATGCTGATTTTGGGGGACAAATTGCTAAATTTGTGTCTCCCAAAAAAATTCCACTTGCATGGTATAAACACCATCCACACATACACTTTCTTTGCAGAGGTTAAATATAAAACCTGGTTTACAGTATGAGGTACATATTTTTCAGATTAGATACGTATTGAATATATGTATTCTAATTTTATCTAAATACAAACCTTTGAGGAGAGCCATTGCTGTCTTTGTTTGTCATACATGTATATGGCTGGATAACACCCTTGATAACATCATTCTATTCAAAAAATGTCATATTTTAATAAAAATTGCATGATTATTCAATGTGAGAAACAGTATGTATTTTGGTGGCTTACTTGCATCATTTGTGAATAAGAATTAATTGATTTCTTTTAAACTAAATACAAAGTATACAAACATGTACCTCATCTATGAAGCTCTTCAACACTCCACGCTGCTCCTCACCAGTCTGGTTGTCTCTGTAGGTATACATTTTACCAGTGTAGAAGGACAAATCATCAATTTGCAACTGGTGAAATGTGATGTCCTTTCTCCATTTTTCAGCTCCAGAGGGATGGTTATTTTGATTTGTTGGTAATCTTAAAGATTAGTAATTAATTTCAACTTTCAAATTAAACAATGTGTGTAACTGTATATACAGATTAGTACGACATAAATACTCTAGCTGAGAAGCAATTTTTATATTTAAGGAATGACCAATCATGAAAATACTAATTGGTGGAACTGAAAAAAAAGAATATCACATTTCTGCCTTTGTTTCATCAGTTAGTTATCATTACTACAATATACACATGTACTTTCGCTGAGTGAAAAATGGTGATTAACTAAGAACACATTAAAAATAATTTTTAGGCTCCATATAAACACTGAATAATAAGAGATTTTTAAAATGGAAATGAAAAGGCCATCTTTGAATTTAAAATTGTTTGGTTGCCCTCTCCTCACTGGGTGGCTTAAAATGGCCTGACTTAAAACTTTTCCAACCTTCAGGAAGCAATTATATGAAGATGCATAGTTTAACTCTTCAAAAGTGGAAAGACTTCATTACTCACCTAATAACATCTTTTGCATATTTTGGATTTGCTAGAAATAATTTTAAAATTTCTGATGGCTTCAGACACCAAAATGTTGTTCCATCATTTGCTTCATTCTGCAAAAATACCAGTAATTATTTTTTTTAATGCAAATCAGAAACAGGAAATAGAAGATTTTCACTCATCTAACTGACTTAGCTTCATACCTCCTGTACTAAATTCCTCCAATTCAAATCTCCAAACCTTGTTTCCTCCAAATCACGCATCGTTGGTATTTCTTTGACTCCAGCCTCTTTTAATATGTAAAGAACAAATTTCACAACTTCATTGCTCTGAAAGAAAAGGAATAAAAAAGATATAAACAAGTACATCTTTGATACAATATGTTAACGATTTTAATAGCACAAACAATAAATGATCATTAGTCATGTACATATATGCATTAGCTGTCTAGAGGAAGTCACTTAGCATGCATCTGTATGAAAATATAAACTATGTCTAAGAACTGCTAATGTCGGTACATATTAGTATTGTTCTGGCACCTCCCTCAAAGTCATGTCAGCAAGATAAAGCCAGGCAAGGATTATGTTGAAGTCATGCATAAAAAGGGTAATTTTATTGTACCAATATAAAATGAACTCATAAGACATAAAATCGTTTGTTAATGTTTGACTTAAAATGAAAAATAAAATTTGTATGCATAATTTTAGGACTAAAAAAAATAGATTATTACACTGTATCAATGTCATTTGATCGAGATCGGGACTCAATTGTGAAATTGTTTACATTTTTGCCTACAAGTCTTGTAAGTTTTAGCACTGCTTAAAACACTTCGTGATGGTCAGTCCATGCATTGGAGCAGATTTTTGACAGTACTCTTAAATTCTGAATTCCTTGAATTTGACATTGTACATAATGAAATTCTCAATACACAAACCAAAGATATTATAGTGTACATCTGATCTACCATGATTTTTTGTTATCATAAACAGACAATGCGCATTCTCTAGTGACATATTTTTTTTAAGTATAATCATAATTGAATGCATTGATTAAGTTTTATTTGAAGGTAATTATTTAGTATAAATCTGACAATTCTATTAGTTATGACCAGGGATCTAAGTTTACAAGTCCCTGTTATGACTTACCACGGGATGTGTTGGCGAGTTCTTTAACACATACAATAGCATGTGCAATTTGCTTTTGAATGGGAAAAAAGAATTCTTGATCTGTGACTGTTCCTTTAAACCAGTACCATCGTCTAGAGTGTCCTCGCCATCTAAAATGTCATCTACAAGTCCTGTGCTTTCGTCACTATGTACTTGATGAATACCCTGATGTACGTGGTCCGTAAAGGAATTCCTTTCAGGCGGTCCTTCTATGTTGTCGTCTTCTTTCAGGAAAAAAGCTGTTTTTTTATGCTTGGTTGTTGATAAATGACGTATATAATTACTTTCTTTTACGGATTTAAACCCGCAGCTTTCGCAGGCGTACATCTTGTTTTCCCCGCGAAACTGTCAAACGTTATTATGTGCCCGATCAAAATTGGGATAGAGTGATCATAAAGTTTGTCCAGATGATGAGATCTTTTATAATTAGCTACCTTGATTAAATACGGCACAAGAAGTATTGTGATTTATTTAGATATGTTTTTGTCAGATATATATTTGAAAATACCATTCTGCTTTGAGAATATCAAGACTAGATCGGGTTCGGAAATACTGTATATTTTTGTCTTACGTCACACTATGACGAGTTTGGCAGACGATGTAAATAGGCCTATCGAAGATGCCGAAAGTACCCCAGAACATTTATGTGAGTTTTAATAAGATCTTATTTTATTTATTTGTCCTCGTATGAAGAATGTGTTTAAATGCTAGAATATATAGTGTGTGTGTTTACTGTATTTATAATAATCTCTTTTATATAAAAGGATTCTCAAGAAACTTATGTTAGTGAGACAGAGGATCCTTCGAATCAGGTCAGTCAGGATCTGTTTGGTGACAATGGCCAGTGGCAACAAGGACTAGTTCCCGTTCCGGAGAAACTTCTAAAAGATATATGTGAGCTTATTATTTTGTGCAACAAGATAATATAGTAATACCCTCTAAATGATTCAATCATTTTCTGATGCATGATGCTATACGTAACGAAATTCTTCAATATCAATTTTCCATGCCATTTTATTATCATTAAATTAATTTAAAACTTACACTCAAATGTTATTAATGTCAAATCTTTACAGCATGCTTTGCCTAGATTGACTGATATTTGAACACAAACTCTTGGTCATGAATACATTGTGTTAAGTCATATAAATTCCATAGATCAGAATATTTTATGGTATGAATTATTGCAGTAAGAGAACTCAAACAACTGAGAGAAAGTGTGGAGGAGCTGAAGAAAAGTTCTACAAACACTGTTCATAAAGACATCGCCCAGTTTAGGGTAGAGGACCAGGGATTTCATGTAAGTTTATGCTATTTACCAGCACTGAAAATGTGGGATGGCAACTGTCAGTAATGTTTTAAAGCTTAATTTACCTTGTTTAACTCAGCCATGTACATGTATTTACAAATTGTAATCAAGTTTTAATGTGCAAATGTTACATTTTATAGAAAGCATATTTCCAGTTCCTGAAAGGAAAATTTTGTGTCTGTCCTTGGTTGGATACGCAGGAAGAGAATTTCAAGGTAAATGTAAATGATTTTTAAAAAAACGATATTAAGCATATAATAGATAAGTTTATTATTATTATTATTGATCAGAATTGTACACCATAATCTGTATGATTTTTATGTGCAGATAGAAGTGAAGCAGTATATTGGTGACCAGAACGCACATAAATACAAAGTTATGTGTAGTTATGCATCACATAAATTCACGCAGCTTCGAAACCAGCTCAGAAGGATGGTATGTGAAATCTATGGTATTGCATTTATTTGCCTGCCTGAATGTGTGTTTTTATATATAAAATAAAACACTCTCATAACAATTAAGTGAAAGTAATTAATTATCAGGGACAGACAATAAATTCACAATATATTTTAAATCCACAGAGAATGATATTCACTTTGCTGTAACATCAACTCTTTTTATTGTGTTTAAATATGTGTGTTTTATTGTAAATAATACATGTATAATTGTGGTTGAAACATCAATAACTGTAACACGATTTATCGTAAATATTATGAAACGATTCCTCACCATATCAATTTGCTTGATATTACAATTGGATGTTAAATAAATAAAAATCATATGATATAATTTTCTCAACTTTCAAGAAAAAAGGACTTGCCTGCAGCAATGAATTTTGATATTTTTTGACTGAGAAACTAAAAATTAATTTTCTGAGCCTTTTATATCTTTGATAAATTTGTACTTTTCATGTAGGTATAAAATATGCACTAAGGAATAATTTATTTACATAAAATGTTTTAAAATCATACTACTTGTAGCTGTTCCACTCCACAATGGACATTCGTGGACTATCCCTGGAAGGTCTGTGCAATTATTTGTACAGGCCTTTCACTCCACCTGGAGAAAGCCCAGTGGACCAGAAGAGGATGAGGATGACTGTAGCAATTGTAAGTTTCAATAACAATAAAACTGATATTCTATTATAGAATTACCTATGTTTGCACTTTGCAGGTATTGTCTTAGGTAGCACAATTTATATAATGTTGATCAATTTATAGTGAAGCCTGAATGTAAGGGAAAAATTACTTTAAAGTCATACTTTTACATTTCGGAGAGCATTTCTATTCAGTAAAAAATTTGAAGAATGCAGCAAGTTTTGGGTTGAATTTAAAGGTAAGGATGTACTAACTTTGAATAGTGAACATGGTGAACAAATGTTTTGCTGTAACAACTGTGAAAATTAATAGCTGAACTATGACATGACACTGCTAGAAATGATTAGCTGGCAGACCTAAGATGAAGACTCAAATGAGCTTTTCTGATCAAAATTTGTCATGATTTATGTTATGAACTTTTCACTTTTGAGATTTCTTTCATAAAACACGGGACCAATTTCAACCAAACTTGACAAAGCATCCTTGTTTCAATTTCATGGCCACACCCTCTTCCAAGGGGAGATAATCAAGAACTAAAAAAAAATTCTGGCATCTTTTAAAATTCTTCTTCTAGAGAACTGTTGGTCTAAAAAGGTGAAACAAATTTTTAATCATAATTAGGAATACAAATATGGAAGCAAGTCAGCTCCAACATATCAAAGTTAAAGGCAAGATTAAAGTTTTTGCGGACAAACAGATTGACAGATGGACAGGGCAAAACTATATACCCCTGAATCTTCAATTACAGGGCATATTTTTGAATATTATACTTTCATGTAAATTAGTTGAATCTGATTCATCGAGAAACATTCGTTAAAAAACACTATTACCCGCTGAATAATAAAGCCACGCCCTCCAGCCTAGCAACAGTCAACATTGCTTGATGACGGGTGATATTCCAAAAAATAGCGACTGTGCATAATTTATGCGCGCAAGGTTCACTGTTATATGTATTGTATAAAACATTCAGTATAATATGATAAATATTGCATGTAGTTGAGTGTAACACTGAAAATTTTCACCCTCGAAAACCATTGTCAACCTCGGCTACGCCTCGGTTGACAATGGCTTTCTTGGGGTGAAAATTTTTCAATGTTACACTCAACTACATGCAATATTTATATATGATGATTGAAGAACAGCAGGGCTGTAGTAAATGAGATGAGCATAATGTGGCTTCTGAGCCTCTTGTTAAACACTCAAGATCACAAAATTTCACTAAATTTAGGGAATTCCTAAGTATTCCATTTTGCTATTTATTGTTACCGTTCATGGTGATTTAATAGTTGCAAACTGAGTTAACTTGCAACACACATTTTTTACCTTTGCTGGTGAAACATTAGTGTTTGCAACTGGCAAATCATCATGAAAGTTCATATAATATTTAATTAAATTGATGATAACATGGATAAGGCCTGGAACGGTTGAACACCTGATGCATCCTCATGAACATTTTCATTTCTTTTTTTTCAGATTTCTATGATGCAATCGGAAGAGATGAAAGATCCAACATATGGGAACTCCTCCAAGAGAAGGAGGAGAGAAGAATTAGGCGATATCGAGAGGTAAGTCACCTTGATTAAGAACTTGATCATGACATTTTAAATGCAATAAGTTTAAACAAAGATTTAAAAAAGACTCAAAAGTTCTATTTTTCTAAATTATTAAGTAATTCACTTTTTTAAATTGTAGGAGCAGGATAGAGAGAAATGAAATTATAATTTGGTACATGAAATAAAGAACTTGAAACCAATATATGTATTTTATTATTGTAATATAATCCATTCAAGGAAAATAATTAAAGACCATTACCAAACTGTTACGTTTGCTGCAGACCTGCAGCAAGTCTGCTGCAAGTTTGCAGCAAACAAAATTGTTCACAGGAAGAAAATTTTCTTGTTCGCAGATGATTGCTGCTAGCTGCGATCTTGCGGCAAACATTGCAGCAATTGCTGCAAGCTTGCAGCAAATTCGCAGGAACTCAATATGTTTGCAGGAACATTGCAAGAAACATAAGCGCCAATCTGTTGTTCGCAGCAAGTTTGCAGGAAATATTCAACAAATTGAATGTTTGCAGGAAGTTCGCAAGAACAGTAAACAAGTCAAATCAGCCAATGAAATGCAGACTGTACTGAGGTCAATACAGAATTCGCCATTTTGAAATGTTTGAATTGAAGTTGTAGATGTTTCAGTATTTTGTTAGAAATATATACCATTTTGAATGATTACAAAAGCATAATTCTGGACGTAGGAGTACATTGGCATACAAACATCAAATTGGTAAGATTTGATTTTGTTTTATTTTAATATGAAACAATTGTAATTATATCTCTTGAAAAACTTGTGTACTTGCTAAATCTAAATCTATTGATGAATTTCAATCTTTAGTTTAATGTCACATTTGTATGTTTCTTTAATGTATGAAAGGTTCAAAATCAATTTTAATTAATGTTTATAGGTTTTCAAATAAATTGGTATTAACTGTAAAATTTTAATTTGTATGTATATAGAGTCATGTGCAAGGGTTCTTAATTTTTTCTGTACATGTCAGAACAAAATTTATATTACATTTTAATTAAGAATAGTATGGGAACCTTGTCTAGGAAAAGAAAGAAAGACTGTCAACAATTCAGAAACTTGCACATATGGTGGATTTTCTCTATAATAAACAGATTAAGGTCAGGACAAAGGCTTTCAGCGAACTTGCTGCTTGTATGCAGGAATGTGCTGAAAAACAATAAATATATTGCTTGCCGCAAGTTAGCAGCAATGTTTGCCGCAAGCTTGCAGCAAGGTCTCCATATTTGGAAAACCCAATGTTTGCTGCAGACTTGCAGCAAACCTCATTTGCATGGTAAAATGTTTGCTGCAAGCTTGCTGCATACCTGCCGCAAAATTGCTGCAAACACAGAAGCTTTGTATAGGCTGTCATTGTTTCTTTAGCTTCATTGCCGCAAGCTTGCAGCAATGTCTGCAGCAGGTTTGCAGCAATGTTTGCTGCAGACTTGCAGCAAATGTTTGCAGGAAGGCAATATTTTTGGTAAGGGGATGGACTGCATGGGCAGAGCTGACCCTGTAATACACTGTTGTGTCATTGTATTCTGTTCAACAAGGAACCAACGAAGATGTAGACCTTCTAATTCAGCTAACAGTTACTGCAGACAAATTATTCAATCACCATGCATGATTAAATTAACTGTATTTAAAGACAAGAAAAAAGTAAAAAAGATAATAAGCACAACAGTAATATTATACATGTGTAATTCACATATAAAGTAAAACGTGTATATTACACATGTTCAACACATGTTTTATATGTATAAATATACCAAGTGTTTATTTTCACACATGTTTAACACATGTTAAACATATGTTGAACATGTGTAAAAATAAACACCCTATACATGTGCGCTCTTTTTATGTGTTTTACATGTGTAAAAAACAAATGTTGAACACATGTTTAACATATGTTTAACACATGTTGACATTTTTCCTGTGTAGAGTGTTATCTGCAGGAATCATCTGTACGAGACATTTATAGTTTATAAAAATGTTCAGGATTTGGTCGGCTGACCACAGCTGGACAGACTTTCCAAAGTTACGCACATAGAAGAATGTTACATATAGTTTGAAATATCTTGTCAAATTGTTATATTTAAGTCCGCTAATCTTAATAATTAGTACACTGTATAATAAAGGTGTAGCCAAATGCAATTACAAGTACATTTCTATATTAAAGTATCAGTAGGTTGGAGCAATTGGTTTTGCTCTCGGTGCAACAGAACCAGAATTTATCTAATTTAAAATTAAAAAAGTACATAAACTTAAACTGACAAAAGAATTGATTGTTTGCTTTACGCTCCATGTAAGGATCGAACCAAAACTTTTCGATTCCATTACACTGGACGGGTAACGCATACTACTGAGATATAATCGCTATACATACACAAAATGTGGATTTCAAAAGGAGCACTGCATTAACACGATAGGATTTTTTTTTTCGAAAAAGTTCCTTTTTTATGGTCTCTGGGTCTTCTCTCAATTTTTTACAAATGTTTATTGGTTTCTTTGAATTAAAATACACACAATTAATGCTCCAAAATCATGGAGAGATGACCCAGAGATAGCAAAACGCCAAATTTTTAGAAAAACTTGTATAAAAATGTAACATTTTGTACAAACGACTCATCTAGCAAATTTTCAAGGTATTTTTTAGCAAATGAAAACATACTATCAGGAAAATATTTCCCTTTCTTATTTCACATGAACCCTATATATAAGAAAAATGCTAAAATTTCATGTGACATATCAATGAAATTTCACTTTTAAAGTGCGCCAAGATTCCTGCCGAATGCTAATCTAAAGTGTCCTCGTTCTTTTTAGAGAGAGAGAGAGAGAGAGAGAATGTTTTTGAAAAAATTAAAATATCAGAACACCAACATTAGACCAGTAGCATTACTAATTTGATCTTCAACTATTGCGAGACCCATATAGCACAAAGTAATATGTGTGATGGAGGTGGAAAGGATCATCATGAATGCATGAAGGTGTAGGTATGCTAAATTCATGCTGAATACTTAAAATCCTTATACGTTTGTACATACATTCTCATAATTCATAAGGTATAACGTATTCTAAGCAAATTTGAAAAAATGTTGGAGTAGACCAATGTCAAGGTAAAGAAAAAGTTGACGAATAGTATTGTAATTTCATATGGGATAAACATGACAGAATTAAGAGAAAGACAAGAAAATACATCATGCATACTTGCAAGTTTACGACAGAACATAATTTTTTTTTTATATACATTTGTCACCTTCTTAGTGAAATATAACATGGTACCGTAAACGGGTTTTAATACTTTTCTTGTAAAATAACCATGATGTTTTCTTTTACTGCTGTATAACTGGATACAATTTGTAAACCCCCTGGTTACAAAACAAAACATGCATGTTTTGAGGAGTAATCTCTCTTTATTCAGTTTCTTTTTTCACCGGCGTAACAGTTCAATCTCATTAAAGGCTTTCTTTGTTACAGTAGATAATTTATTTATTTATTATTATTATTATTATAATTATTATTATTATTAAATAACTAAATAAAAAATGGCATTAAAGTTATATAAAGAAACCTCTTTTCTTTTCAATAATGTGGTTAGTCAATGAGTTATCTTCCTCAGATTTCGTTCAAGACAATAAATAAAAGAGATCTATAAATTTGTACGCATTTTTATATTTAGCCCTTAAAATTCTTTTATATTATAGAGTAGTATAATTAGCATTCTCTTTTCCAATGCATTCATCTCAAATAACAAATAAAATTGTGTATAATCATTGGTAAAAAGGTACATTTTAAGATGTGATTACTTTCAACACTTCAAGTATTTGACCTTGTCCCAGAATCACAAAGAAAGTACGCAGAGATATGCAATCTACAAGCCTGATTTTTATGCAGTACAATGTTAAAGAGAACCGAATCGCCATTGTGCATTTTTTAATTGATTCAATTCCCCCCTTTTCCAGTATGATCGGACGATTTAAAGAACTGTTTTCAACCAAATTAAAATTGAAAAAAAATAATTTTTTTTTCTTGAGGACAATGTATAAGTATCAGAATTAATATAACTTTGGCTAAGAAGGAAAAATACATCTGTAGGTCAAAATTTTAACGATCGAAGTTTTCATACCATATCACTTCATTTGATTTTTTCAGTTATGTTGCCTTTATCTTGACCAAAATAAATTTATTTTTATTTATATTTAGGTGTCTAATATAGACCAGTGACGTTCTCTCCACAGCTTCGCTGGTTTCTTACTTTTTGTTCTGTACACAAGACATCGACTTTTTAACGAAGCATTTCTTTAGAAAATTTCATCTCAAAACACTTGGTTTTCAAAAGTTAAGTTTCTTAGTAAAATATTTCCTCAGTTCCGAATACACAAGACAAATAAGTACAAAATAAACTTTATCTTCAACAGCATCGAGCTGCAAAATTTGATTATCTTTAGAGGTACTCGTATGATTATCCGTTTCAATATGTAGATTTTGTGATAAGATACATAGAGCTCACGGCGGATGTTTCCGGTCAACAGGGGATGATGTACTCCTAGGCACCTGATCCCACATCTGAAATTTCCGGGGACCCATGTTTTATGCCCTGTTCACATATTTGTATTGTCTGTAGAATTTTTGAAATCGGTTACTGTTCGTTATGTCTATCAAGAGTTATTTAAGAACCTTTTCGGTATAACACTGATTTTTTTTTATTTTTCATTAAATAACGGCATACTATAAAACCTGGCCTTTGTCTTAATACATGTGTCCAATCAATAACGTAAATAAATTCTTTAATGCCAAACGAAATAAATATTTTTTATGCATTTATCTTGTCGGAATGAAATAATTGTGTGTTATTTATTTTGTACAAAAATATCTCAACAAATATTTTGAAACATGATCGAAAGTCGGTTTGATAGCCATCTGGTTTGTCGGGCTGAAGTTGTAAACAAGAAATGACACTGACTGCAAGGTTTGTTTAACCTCTTGCTTTTCATTGTAAAAGATATTTGAAATGCGTAAAATGATGATATGTTCACATGTGTTTTCATTCTTCAATAGAAAATAAAAAATATTATGTACAAACACTGTAACTATGAAATAACAATAATTGCCTAAATTTTGCAGCTTTTTTAACGGTTTATACTGTTGTTGTTATTTATACATATTATTTTGCCATTAAACGATTCTTTGATG